GTACCATCTTGGGACTTTCCCTTGTGGTGGCTCTTTGAGGGAGCCTTCCTCTTCTTACCCTTCCCTTGCCCTATTGCCAAGACTGGGGCAGCAGCGGGAGTTGGAGTTGATGCAATAGACTTATCTTTGAGATTGCTCTCAGCAGTCCTCAGTAAGCCCTGAAGCTTGCTCAAAGAGACCTCCTCCTTGTTCATGTGGTAGGTTATGCGGAACTGGCTATAGCAGGGAGGCAAGGAATGAAGGATGATATCAATTGCCAGCTCTTCATCGAAGTTCACATTCAACTTTAGTAGGGGATCGACATATCTCTGAATCTTTTGCAGATGAGTAGTAAGGGACTCTCCATTACCCATTTTTGGTAGTGATCATCGAAGTGATGATCTCGTACCTTTCTTGCCTAGCGCTTTGGTGGTACCAGTCCAGCAGATCCTAATGCATTTCATAGGGGTACATGTCCTCATAGGACTTCTAAAGTTTTGCAGTCATAGTCGCTAGCATGATGCAATGGACTTTCGTGGCATCACGCTCATGGGCCTCAAAGGCCGCGATCTCTTCAGCAGAGGCAGTGTTGATGTCAATCTCCTTTAGCTTCTCATCGAGGATATACTCTTTGTCCTCGTAACGAGTGACCATTCGAATGTTGCGGATCTAATCATTAAAATTTGACCCGTCAAAGATCACTCTCCCACACAAGTTCATGAGTGAGAACGAGCCAGAGGAAGTTGAACCAGAAGCGTTGTTGTTGACATTCGACATCTGAAAAGGAAAAAGATCAAAGTTTGATTAGAAAATGAATCCCCAATTAGACACCCAAATGAGAAATTAGGGCTAGGATCCAACAACATTATTTACAAATTAGAAAAGGGATGCCGTAATCTAACAAGTAAATAATTTGAAGGTAAGTGAATGACGATTCACTAATTCTCCACCATGAGAAACGAAAAAGAGATTAAGTTTTAAATGTATTGAAAACTCCTAGATCTTTTGAGATTCATTGAAATTTTCAATGGCATGTTTAAATCTCGATATGCCCCTCTAGTTTGTGACTGGGATACCGAGGGTCACAAAGCGGGTGTGAATAACCATGCAAATATACATGGTGCCCTCATTGTTACAGTCACCTATTCAATGTGCCGGTTAACCACACATGCTCCTCGAACTATGAAGAACAATGAATCACCCTTTTCCACCTTTCTTAGAACCCAATTAGTGTGCCGGTTAACCACACACGCTCCACTAACTTCTTAGCAAGGGTACAAAGTGAAAATTTCATGGAATTGCATGAATTCACTTTTGCCTAAAGTAACTAAGATTGGGAATTTTTGTAAAAACATTTAGTTACTTTATATAGGTTCATTATAGTTTTTAATGAGGAAATGTTTGCCCTATCCTACCCGTTCGGCTAACGACCCTCCACTAGTCAAGGGTGCGGTGGGTAAGAGTGGATACCTAATGGTGGTCATTTTACAGGCCGCTTCCTTAAACACCCCTTATAGACTAGCTTCGTGAATGAGGCCTACTAACGGTAAGACTAGCATTTAGGTTACATATATATATATATATATATATATATATATATATTAATCTTATAATATTATAAAGTATAAGGTTGAATTTTAAACTTGTAAAAAATTCTAGGTTTTGAAATTTAAATAGTTCAAATTAAACTTTTAATCATAAAATTTAAATTTCAAAACTTGAGGACAAGTTTTGAACTTTTCAAAACACAAAGGATCAAATAGCAAATAATTTAAATGAAACAATTAATTTAATGATTATCTAGATTTGACCTAATCAATTTTATTTATAAGATAATTCAACAATTAATTTAACTAATCAAATATTATCAAATAAGGAATTTATTATTCAAACAATTAGTAATTATCTTTTGATTTGGTAAGGATAATCATAAAACAGTAATAAAATTCCGATTTTATTAGTAAAAAACGATTTAGGTAATTATCCTTAAGCAAAACAGCAAGAAATCTCGAAAATCTCTCTGTTTGACAGCTAAACTCGTCGAGTTCACATTGGAACTCGTCGAGTTCATCCAACTCGTCGAGTTCATCCAACTCGTCGAGTTCCCAATGGAACTCTTCGAGTTCATCAGACAGATAGCCCAAAAATCGATTTTAAAGCATGAATGAACATACAAGGCATCAATACAATAGAAACCAAACAAAGCTCGGATACCACTGATGGGTTTGAGCCAAAAAAACATCATATGTGCTCATGCAAACCCTAATACTTGGATCTAGGTTTCTCTATTGTACATGCATTCATCCAAGCCTTTCAAACCCTAGATCTAGCATATGATATTTGAAATTAACATATGTAAACAGATCTAGATGATTACCTTGTTGTTTATTGAAGATCTTGAAGCCTTGAGAACCTTAGCACCTCAAGTGTTGTGCCTCTAATGAATCACAAACACCAATAGCAATTGGAGGAAACAAGAGAGAGAGAGGGGGAGAGGAGAATTTCGGCTCTAGGACTTCTAGGGTTCAAGTGGCCGAAATTCCCATGCCTAGGGGTCCTTTATATAGGTGTAGGAATTAGGGTTTCAATGGTTATCCTTATCTGATTACTTAGCCACCAAGCAGCCCAAGGATAATTCTAGAATCCCTATGGACGAATTCTTTAGGCTTTATCCCTAGAATTCGTCCACCCTATCTATTAGGGTTTCCTTGCCCTACTTTGTAACTATCACATAATTACAGTTCAGCTCCTTAAGTTCAATTAACTTCTTTTGATCACAAAACTAATTCTTAATTAATTATTGACCAATATTGATTAAACAAATATGATTTCTCTTTTAATATATTATTCTTATAATATATTAATAAACCATAATCACCTCTTTCTATATTATTCCTCCAGTCAAGTTGCTTTGGTGAAAGCAACCCAAAAGGACAATGCACAACCGGGTCAAGTACATACCAAATATAGTTATGGACTTAGACACTAATCCAACACTAATAACCTATAATTTTCCACAAATCTTACAACTTAAATGAGTATATGATAAGAAACATCTAATGGAATCACAAAAGAAAAACTTCACCTCCTTATCTTTATCAGTGAGAGTTGGCACCTCAATACATATTTGGGATACATGCAACACTTTTTTAACATTAAATGCATGTTGTTCAACACTAAAAAAAGGACACACAAAGTGTGTGATTTGTGAAACAATTTTCGTGACCTTGGGGATTCATCTCCCAGGAAATTTAGGAGCAAATTCTTCATGCTTTCTGCAGTGACTTATGAAGAGTTAGTTACATAAAAAATATAAAAATTAAAAGATAGATGTAATGTACTATTATGAGTATGAGCACGCACAGACAAACTGTGTTGCTGCAATGCAACTTGTATAAACTAAACTAAAGGAAGCATCTATGTGCAGGTAACAAAACAAATATACAACAATCAAAATTCAAAACAAAACAAAGAGGAATACAATGAAACTACCTTGGCTTGTACAGACCAGACCAGAGCATCACATTACATTAATTCTACTACCAAGTGTAACATATAGAAAGATAAACCATTTTCCATATAACTTCTTAGACCTCATAAAATTTAATTAAAAAAAAACACAGAAACGACAGCCACATTGAAACATCTACTAATTTATTTTTTTTCTTTCTTTTGATATAATAATCTTAAGACCATGATAAACTTTTCACATTTTCAGGACATACATACCCATGTAAGGTTAGAACCCGAACCCACCCACTTAAGCATTGCATGTGAGATTTGTAATAAGTCATGGTTTGTGAAGCTTGAAGCCGAATACTCTTGGGGTGTAGCACTGTATGGCCTTTTGTGGCTTCAGGTGACCATAACTCATCAAGAACAAGTGAGGGAAAGTCGTTCCAAAATAAGCACCATCAATATCTATTATGCAACCAAACTCAAGGAACACAAACATACAAAAAAAAACCAGATTATTTTCAATGAAAAATATATTATAATCAAATGCTTGCTTTTGTAGATTTTAATAAAGGATACTGCCTTGGTATTTGGATCGAGGGTAGTAGATATCTTCACATTTGGGACAATAAATTTTGACAGTGCTGGATCGAGGTATGTCCGATTGGCCAACAGGAAGACAGGGTTGTCCACAACAGTAAACTCTTGGGCACCTTCCAAAGTTGTAAATTTTGTACTTTTCCAACTATATATATGCAATGTTTTAAACACTACAAATCTCAATATACATATATATATTTTATAAAAAAATTAAATTTATCAAACAAGAAAAAGAGAACAGATCTGTACCATTGCATACATTCCACGGGTGGTCAATATGTAGCGCACATGAATCAGGCCATATAACATCTCAGCTGCTGACTCAACCAGTTCATTCTGTTCTTCAGTGAACATATCGCCTTCTTATTTATAAAACAAATCACCATTACTTTAACCAAACCAAATATATATATATATATATATATATATATATATATAGATATATTATATATATATATAATATTCCAACTATATATATGCAATGTTTTAAACACTACAAATCTCAATATACATATATATATTTTATAAAAAAATTAAATTTATCAAACAAGAAAAAGAGAACAGATCCGTACCATTGCATACATTCCACGGGTGGTCAATATGTAGCGCACATGAATCAGGCCATATAACATCTCAGCTGCTGACTCAACCAGTTCATTCTGTTCTTCAGTGAACATATCGCCTTCTTATTTATAAAACAAATCACCATTACTTTAACCAAACCAAATATATATATATATATATATATATATATATATATATATATATATATATATATATATATTCCAACAAACAGTCATTTATATTAGGATATACCAATACCAGTAAACAATAACAGGATACAAATTTATTTATTTCAAAATCTGAACTTTTGTGATTACAAGTTACAATTTATAACTCGCAAGTAAACAGAAATAGAAAAATTAAAGATGAGAATAAAGGTTATAGAAGATAAAAAAAAAAAACTAGTTTTCTGAGTTTTTGTTTGGAACATAACCGTATTTTCCAATTTCCAACATTAATTTCTTCAAATTCCTTACAATTTGAACATGGGATTTTGATTTTTTATCACTTGAAACAAACATATGCTGTTGTTTCTTCACATCTATCCAACTACACACAGGCAACATCCTCAAACCTTTCTTTTTTAAAGTATGAAAAACAGAAGCAGCTTCTTTTTGTTTTCCACATCTGTTGTAAATATTTAAAAGAACAACATAATTACTAAGCTTTTCTGGCTCCATACCGTATATTTTTTCAGCTGCAAGCTTTCCAAGTTCTAGATTCTTGTGGACCCTACAAGCTGTAAGCAAAGCAGCCCACATGTTTACTGTAGGATTAAATGGAGCATTTTGGATCAAAGAAAAAGCTTCATCTAATAACCCTTCACGACCTAATAACTCAATCATACATGCATAATGCATAGCTCTAGGTTTTACCTTGAAATCTGTTCCCATTGATTCAAATATGTCCCACCCTTGATCTGATAAACCAGAATAGCTACAAGCAGATAGAACAACAAGAAAAGTAACATGATTTGGGATCATGTTTTCAGTAATCATTTGTTTGAATAACTCTAAAGCTTCAATTCCTCTCCCATGATTACCATATCCAGCAATTAACGCGTTCCATGATATAACGTTCTTGTGAGGAATTTTTTCAAACACGTTGCGTGCATCATCGATTCTTCCCCATTTACTGTAGAAGTCAACAAGTGCAGTGTTGGCAACTGTGTCTAGACCAAAACCATGGCAGATGAGGCCTGCGTGTTGAAGAACGACAACCTTACTTGAACAAAAAATTGGTTTACGAAAAATTGAGAAGAAGACCAAGTAGTTGTGGCTACCTACAGTCGATTTCCCGATTTCTATTTCTCTTTCTCCCATTCCAGTCTCCGTCTTTCTGTTGCTATGATAGAGAGTTTCCTTCCGGCGTTGGGTTTGAGTACAGTAGTATTAGCATAGGTAGGCGATGTTAGAGGTGGGAGAGGATGGTGGTGGGCAACATGAGAACTGTTTAGAGTTAAAGAGGAAGCGATAGTATGTCCAAAGAGCAGCGGAAAAGGTAAAGCCATCGGTGTTGGTGACGGATTTTTTGGAAACTGATGAGATGTGAAAAAGAGAGGATTCAGCGGAGGGTGAAGAAGCAGCCGACTGAGGAGGTGGCTCATACGGTGATGGGTTGAGGACGGAAAGCTGGCATCGGACGATGGCCGACGAGTCAATAGGTGAAGATAATGATTGATTGTTATTACGATTTAAGTGAGATATGCAAATCCATGGGAGATCTCTATGAAATCGCAGGTTGGGTTTTAGGTTAGAGAGAGAGAAAAGAAGACGAAGACCCTAGGCTTCTTTCTTGCTGATTGGAAATGGAGGGGGTTTTAATTTTTCACATAGGCGGGGTTTAATTTTTGGGGATTTCATTTCCCGCTCAAAACGCGTGTTTCGTTAAAAAAAAATATAAAGCGACACACTTACATGACATGCATTTTATAATAGGCGTCATTCGTATTTCTTTTTTTTCTTTTCTGACACTAATTTCAGGGCACGCACAAATGCGTGTCCTCTATCCTTCAAATTTCATAAGAGATGACATTATTTTTAGGACGCACGTTTTTGCATATCGTAAGTCATTGCGTGTCATTGTTTGCGCGTCATAAAAGGCTGTTTTTCTAGTAGTGTACCTGAAACCAAAACTGAAAACTGTAAGCACGAAGCTTAATGAGTCTCCCCAAACTACCACATAACATACACATAATCACATAACTTGGGCCTTGCCCGCTACATCGGCCCCGCCCGGCATCGGACAAGTCCGGCATCGGGCCCCGCCCGACATCAGACCGAAATCCAGTATACATATAAACATATCAACAATGCATATAAGATAAACACATAACATAAACATAACTTGGGCCTATCCCACTACATCGGGCCCCCCGACATCGGCTTACCCGACCTCGGACCGCATCCGGCATCGGGCCCCGCCCGGCATCGGACCGAAGTCCAGTATACATATAACATATCAACATGCATATATCATAAACACCTAATATAAACAAATAAACATTCCTCGGGATTGCCCCGGCATCAGACCGTAGTCCGGAACACATAACATCCACATGCAAGAATCACAAAGACATCAAGCATACAAACATTCCTCGGGCTTGCCCCGACATCAGACCGAAGCCCAGAATCATATAATCTATATCGGGCTAACCCCAGCATACGCTATCATACATAAACGGGCCGGCTTTGGTGGTGATGACTTTTCCCGAGAATTCCGGCTAAACAAAGCACCCAAACACCACTTTACTGAAATAAACACCATTTGACACATACTCAGCCATCTCTCATGGTGGCTGGTGGCGGCAAAAGACAATTCACCGCGACAGCCACCATGGTGGTCTTCTTGCGTCTTCCAACCACCTAAACACGCTCACACCGCGGCATGGATTGCAGCTAACACCCACACGCCGGAAGTCATACACTAACGAAGCAGCAGCCTCACCATCGGAGGAAGGTGACGGTCGGAGAACCTACGAAAGCCAACAGCGAGAAACGGAGACGGTGGTCTAGTGACAACACAACAACAGAAGAACGGGGAAGGAAGAGAGGTCGCGACCCCGACTGGAGAACGACAGCAGCAGAAAATCGCGTTCTTCCAATCGCCTACTGCCTCGACGTCCAAGGGCAGCCTTCATCTTCAATGGAGTGAACGCAACGGTGGTTCTCATCTTCGACGTCGGCGGTGGAGCAGCGGTATCCGGGGATCACGGTGGCAACACGACGGCTGGAGGAGTGGAGGGATAAGGGTGGCGGCTGGTGTGCTATGGCTAGGGTTAGGGTTTGCAATGTTTAAATATGGAGGCTGCACATGAGGGTTACGGGTTCATCCGTACTCCTTAAAACTTCTATCCATTTTACCAATATCGGCCCCTCCCCACTAGATATTTTCAAATTTAAACGCAAGACTTACCTTTTAGCGCCTGCCTCCATAAAATCTTTTCAACTTTAATCCAATACTTACCAAACACCCATTTCTTCTAAAAATCTTTACAAATAAATCCAGAGATTACACTTTAACCCCTGAATAATCCAATTTATAACATTTGGCTCCCCAAAACCAACACCCCACTAAATATTATGGATTTTAAGGATACTATTCTTTTATAAATCTTTATCTATTTATTTATCTTCTAGACAGGGTGTTACACAAGAAGCTTAGATATGAAGAGTAGGGGCTTAATCCTTTAAGATGGCCCAAACAGACTGAGGAACTCGTCGAGTCCAGAGAGGGACTCGACGAGTTGTGCCGTTATGTCCTGATTCTGAATATGGTAGAACTTGACGAGTCTGAGGATGACGCGACGAGTTGACTCGCTTAATCGTGACTATGAGTAGCCAGAGAACTCGACGAGTCAGGGGGATGAATCGATGAGTTGGATCGCGATTTTAGGGTTTTTGATTTATAGAACTTGGCGAGTTGATGGATCAACTCGGCGAGTTGAATCAACTCAGAACGTTGACTTTGACCAAAATGTTGACTTTGATCAGGGGTAAAATGGTCATTTTACGCTAAGAAGGATTATAAGATTTTGACAAAGTGTTATTGTAATAATGATATCCGGGGAGTCGTTGGAGCAGCCATCAAAGATTCCTCACACGAGATTTCGCAGTTAGCTTACGAGGTGAGTTTTCCTCCAGTTAGAATGTGTCGAAGGCACCAAGGCCGACCCGTTTATGTATGTTAGTATGTTCCGGATTAAGGTCCGATGTCGGGCGGGGCCCGATACCGGACAAGGCCGATGTCGGGCAGTGCCCGAGGTAGCAGGGCGGGGCCCAATGTATGTTATATGTGTGTATGTGTATGGTATGTGGTAGTTTGGGGAGACTCACTAAGCTTTGTGCTTACAGTTTTCAGTTTTGGTTTCAGGTATTTCCGCTAGTAAGGGGAGGAGCTCGGGATGACTGCATTGCACACACCACAACTTTTAGCCTGGGAGGATTCACTATGATATTTATACATGCGATATTGTTACAGTATTCTGATATGATGTTTTGAGATACTATTACTTATGTTTTTATGAGATGTTTTGGGTTACCATGGTATTATTTATAAATTTAAAATGAAATTTTTGGACCGTATTTTTGGGATGTTTCAAGTTGGTATCAGAGCCTTGGTTTGAGTGATTCGGGCACACTCGCGGGTGTGTCTGGACTCAAACTGAGGACTTGTTATGAGAATTTTCAAAAAGGAAAATCAATCTATAAAAGAACTTTGAAAAGAGAAAAGAATTTTTTAAACGAGAAGGGGATTTTGAAAAGAGAAAAAGGTGTGGTGCATGCAATCAGCCGAGCTCAAGTAAGTACTCCCAAATTACCAATACAAGTTTATGTTATGATATGTTTATGAGAACTGCATGCTAGACTATGGCTAAGGATCAAGGAATGATGCCTTTTGTGCCTGTTATATGTGTATGAGAACCTCATGCTAGTCTAGGGCTAAGGATCTAGGAAGGATGCCTTATGTGCCTGCTTTATGAGCTTATTGAATTGTATGCTAGTACTGATTAGTCAGTAATATGATGACCTGAGTAGGATATGCTTGATTATGTATACTCAAAGCTTGAATGTTGCTTGCTTTGTACTTTTAGGAGTTCCAGTTATCTTTAACTAACTAGTAAATGAATATGTTAAGTTACATACTGCAAGGGCTAAATAATTTCAGAAGGTTAGGTTTAGCTCTATTTCGCAGCTGTTTTTTGAGCTCAACCGTTATAGGGTAGAACCTCTCATTCGAAGAATTATCTAGTCTTAGTGATATGTAATGGTATTCGCACGCTAGTTAGGGGGAGATAGCAGAGACTCTTATGCAGCTGATGGAGGAGAGTGGGTTGGTGGTTACCCTAGGGCAAGCCTAGGATGAGATTAGCGCGTGAAGCAGTAGCAGTAGAAGGGACTTGGTGGAGTCGAGGCAGTTCTTGAGGAAAGTACAAATAGATGTGGAAGGTAGTATGGGACCGTACTACTGAAAGCAGATGATCCGTACCTGAATCAAGGAGGGATGAGATGAATCCAGATAACTTGTAGTGTGTATGATTCCTCGATGTATGATAAGTATTCTGATGTTTGTTATGGTGTATTTTCTGTATGGTGACGCTACGCACTAGACCAGTTGGCACTTCAGGCGTTGGTGAGGGATCAAGCTCGGGCTCTGGAGCCAGGCAGTTAGACGAGCAGATGAGAGAGTTCATCTCATCTGAGGTCACGCGCAATATTTTAGACCAGACTCATGTGATCTTTGGTACGATCAAGTAGGGTATCTTGGAGCTTTTGGATGAGAGACTGAGTGCTTTCCGCACTGAGGTGGCGGCCATGATGGGGTCGCGCACGCTGAAATTCCGGGAGTTCAGAGATTGTGGAACTCCCGACTATCATGAGGCTCGGGACCCCATTGCTAGTAGTAGGTGGTTGGCTGATATTGCCAACGCCTTCCGTACGAGCTGATGTCCTGAGGGGGACAAGGTCCGACTTGTCTCCTGTCTTCTGAAGGACAGGGTACGAGATTGGTGGGAGGAGGTTGGGAGAGCTATTGGAGATGATGTCGCTATTGATGTGATGACTTGGAGTGATTTCTTGGCCAGGTTCAGGGTCGAGTTTGCACCTATGATTGAGGTGCAACAGCTTGCGAGGGAGTTCCAGGACCTCCAACAGACTAAGGAGACGGTGGCCGAGATCACGGCTATGTTCATGAAGAGGGCCCTTCTCGTTCCACATTATGTGGAGGACGAGGAGATGAAAAAGGCCTGATATCATGAGATGCTACGGCGTGATATCCACCACTTTGTGAGCCGATCCAGCTGACAGACGCTGGAGGATATGATTGCTAGGGCTCGGGAGAGGGATGTGGATTTGGAGATGGAGAGAAAGAGGAAACCAGATGGGGTTCAGACAGGTAGTTCGGTGTAACGCCCGTAGATCCGGGCTAGTCAATTTAGAGACAATGAGCATCAAAAATGAGTTTTTGATGGAAGATTATTTAGAAGGAATAATCTTAACCAAGTTTTAGAATATGTCACAAGGGTTCCGTACATATAAAGAATGCCGAAATCCGAGTTATAACGAAGAAGTTATGGTCCGTCGAAGTTTCGCAACAAAACCGGCACGA